GGAAGTTTAACTTTAAATTCGTAACAACACGCACATAGTAGATGCACATAAATCATCACGCTGCCATAACCAGAACTGTGCCAAAAGCTTTTCAAACTTAATTATACAGTAAATGTTGAACATGTAAAACTCGTAAAAGGCTCCTGTCTGTGGTGCACCTGCCGACCTGGGCAGGTGCACAGGGAAGGGGGCGGATCCCAGGAAACTGCTGCAGGGAATAAAAACTGTAATCCAACTGTCGGTGAGTTTAATCTGAAGTCTGTGTGCGGCGTTCAGCAGGTCTACAGACCCAGACCAGAACCAGACCAGAACCAGACCCAGACCAGAACCAGACCCAGACCAGAACCAGACCAGGAGCAGCACCAGAGCAGGTAGGAACAAAGAGACTGTTATAGAAATAGCAAAAAACTGATGGATAAATGAACAAATACAATAAAAACATCATTCATGTTTTAATGTCTTAGTCCTGGTTTAGTCCTGGTTTAATTCAGCTTTAATCATTGTTTAGTCCCAGTTTAATCTTGATTTAATCCTCCTTTTGTCATTGTTTAAACATGGTTTAATCATGGTTTAGTCCTGGTTTAGTCCTGGTTTAGTCCTGGTTTAGTCCTGGTTTAGTCCTGGTTTAGTCTTGGTTTAGTCCTGGTTTAGTCCTGGTTTAGTCTTGGTTTGGTTTAGTCCTGGTTTAGTCTGGTTTAGTCTTGGTTTAGTCCTGGTTTAGTCTTGGTTTAGTCCTGGTTTAGTCCTGGTTTAGTCTTGGTTTAGTCCTGGTTTAGTCCTGGTTTAGTTTAGTCCTGGTTTAGTCCTGGTTTAGTCCTGGTTTAGTCCTGGTTTAGTCTTGGTTTAGTCCTGGTTTAGTCCTGGTTTAGTCCTTCATCCTAGTTTGTGCCAAGTTTAATAAAAAATGTAGAGATGGTTGAGGAGCCAAAAACTGTACTTAAGTAAAAATAGAATAATGTTACTCAAGTAGAAGTACAAAATGGTCCAAGAAATGACTTAAATAAGGATAATAAAGTATTTGGTGAGACTTGTACTGCTGGATTGTGTTGTCTGTTTTATTTTTAAAACTGGGGTGAAATGACGGTGAAAGGACAAAAAATGAGACAAAGTGAATCAGATCTGAAGGAGCTGCAAGAATCAAATGTGAGAATTTCAGATCGACGATCGATGAAGCTTTTGTCACTTTAGTCACTCAGTGGGAAGAGGAAGTACAACTTTTACTCGAGTAACAGTACTGTTACTGCAATACAAAGTAAATGTGTGCGAATCGTGCAACAATAATAATTAAAAACAATAATTCAAATGCCGAAGACCTGGAGTTGTGTTTCGTAAACCTGGGGACAAGTTTTCACACCATCAGTGGTAGTTTCTCCTTTGACTTTTAGTTCAATGCAAATTGGCTGTTTGAAGAAATTATGCAAATGTCCACCCCGTTCCAGGAAGCTCGCCAAAGAACTGGTGATTAATGCACCTTATTTCACCCCTCCTTCTTTTGTCTATAAAACATTCTGTGGCGGCACTTCTGGGTAAACGAGGACAGGAAAAACAGACAAAGTTAATGTAAAGGAGGGAGAGTTTCAGAGGCCAACGGCAACAAAGGCCCGATCGCCCCAAAGTCGCCCCAGAGTCGCCCCAGAGTCGCCTCAGAGTCGCCCCAGAGTCGCCCCAGAGTCGCCCCAGAGTCGCCCCAGAGTCGCCCCAGAGTCGCCCAGAGTCGCCCAGAGTCGCCCCAGAGTCGCCCCAAGTCGCCCCAGAGTCGCCCCAAGTCGCCCCAGAGTCGCCCCAGAGTCGCCCCAGAGTCGCCCCAGAGTCGCCCCAGAGTCGCCTCAGAGTCGCCTCAGAGTCGCCCCAAAGTCGCCCCAGAGTCGCCCCAAAGTCGCCCAGAGTCGCCCCAGAGTCGCCCAGAGTCGCCCAGAGTCGCCCCAAAGTCGCCCCAGAGTCGCCTCAGAGTCGCCTCAGAGTCGCCCCAAAGTCGCCTCAGAGTCGCCTCAGAGTCGCCCCAAAGTTGCCCCAGAGTCGCCTCAGAGTCGCCCCAGAGTCGCCTCAGAGTCGCCTCAGAGTCGCCCCAAAGTCGCCTCAGAGTCGCCTCAGAGTCGCCCCAGAGTCGCCCCAGAGTCGCCCCAGAGTCGCCCCAGAGTCGCCCCAGAGTCGCCCCAGAGTCGCCCCAAAGTCGCCCCAGAGTCGCCCCAGAGTCGCCTCAGAGTCGCCTCAGAGTCGCCCCAAAGTCGCCCCAGAGTCGCGCCCAGAGTCCCCAGAGTCGCCCCAGAGTCGCCCCAAAGTCGCCCAAAGTCGCCCCAAAGTCGCCCCAGAGTCGCCTCAGAGTCGCTCCAGAGTCGCCCCAGAGTCGCCCCAGAGTCGCCCCAGAGTCGCCCCAGAGTCGCCATGAAGTGCTTTAAAAACCAACTTTAAACTTCTTGGAGCCTGGATCTTGTATTAAATCTCCGTCCTTTACTCTTCTAACTTTCTCTTTCTTCTGTTTCTTGTGTAAACCTACAGAACCATGTCATCGTGCAGTGAAGAGAAGGTGTCAAACGGTGGGGACAAAAGGCACGTAGCGGCGCTGATCCTGGCCCGGGGCGGGAGCAAAGGCATCCCCCTGAAGAACATCAAGACCCTGGCTGGCATCCCGCTGCTGGGCTGGGTGATCCGGGCTGCGGTGGACTCTGACCTTTTTGACAGGTAAACAAACCGAACATTAGAATTATAAACATCAGCGTTTACCTTCTGTATTTTGGTTGTTCTGCGCAGAGATTTAGGTTCTTATTGTCCATTTTACACTATTTTCTAAAACTGTTCTAATGTTTCATCATCACAAACCGACCTGGACTTGTGTTTTGTTTCATTCACACGTTTAACACCCGTGTTAAAGAACTCGAGACCGGATCAGGACTGTTTTTTTGCGGACTTGGTCTTAAAGGCGCTTGGACTCGGTCTTGTCTCGGTCTTAAAGGCGCTTGGACTCGGTCTTGTCTCGGTCTTAAAGGCGCTTGGACTCGGTCTTGTCTCGGTCTTGAAGGCGCTTGGACTCGGTCTTGTCTCGGTCTTGAAGGCGCTTGGACTCGGTCTTCTCGGTCTTGTCTCGGTCTTGTCTCGGTCTTAAAGGCGCTTGGACTCGGTCTTGTCTCGGTCTTAAAGGCACTTGGACTCGGTCTTGTCTCGGTCTTGAAGGCGCTTGGACTCGGTCTTGTCTCGGTCTCGAGGTCTCTTGTCTCGGTCTTGTCTCGGTCCTGAAGGCGCTTGGACTCGGTCTTGTCTCGGTCTTGTCTCGGTCTTGAAGGCGCTTGGACTCGGTCTTGTCTCGGTCTTGTCTCGGTCTTGTCTCGGTCTTGTCTCGGTCCTGAAGGCGCTTGGACTCGGTCTTGTCTCGGTCTCGAGGTCTGACACTTGACGAGTGATAAAATGGAGACAGATTTATAAAAACATTGATATATTTGCGCCAAAATAACAGTAAAATACAAATAAATGTTGAAAATGACAAAGATGGTCTGGATTTGGTCTGGACGGGCCGTGGTCTCGGTCTTGTCTCGGTCTTGGCCTTTAAAAGTCCAGTTCAAGTTCGTTCTAAACCCATTTTTTGATTAGTGTCTGATTTTGGAATCTTTCCCTCTGCTGTTTGTCGTTTTCGTTCTTAGTGTTTGGGTGTCGACCGACCACGACGACATCGAGAAGGTGGGACGTTCTTGGGGAGCTCAGATCCACCGCAGATCTGCAGAAGTGTCCAAAGACTCATCGACCTCCTTGGACACGATGCAAGAGTTCATCCGCCTCAACCCAGGTCTGACCCTCTGACCTTCTGACCTTCTCCTCTGCTCCTCTGACCTCGTTAAGTTTGTTTCCTTTCTCATTTTCTTGGTTTAGTGGTGGACATCGTGTGCCACATCCAGGCCACGTCTCCGTGCCTGCACCCGTTCCACCTGAAGGAGGCGCTGGAGTACATCTTGAAGCGCGGCTACGATTCCGTCTTCTCCGTGGTCAGGAGGCACCACTTCCGCTGGCAGGAAATCAAGAAAGGAAGTACGTTCGGTTACGATTTTTATTACCTTTGAGAGTCAGAGTGGATTTTTTTCATTATGATTTGTTTGTTTTTTGTTTGTTTTCAGGCGAGGAGTTGACCCGCCCTCTGAACCTCGACCCGTGTAACCGTCCGCGGCGTCAGGACTGGGACGGGGAGCTGTGTGAGAACGGCTCCTTCTACTTCGGCACCACAAAACTGATCCGTGAAGGACGGATACAGGTCAGAGACTCACTGAACCCACATTTAGAGCTCGGATACTCGGGAACAGACTCGACACCGGTGTTGGTCTGGAGCCCGGCCTCGAGACGGTTTTTTTACGGTCTTGGTCTCGTCTCGTGGACTTTACACTGACCTGACTTATGTCTCAAGTCTCTCTATTTTTTTATTTTTTTTTATTTTATGCATTTATTTTGGGGAAGTAAAGATTTACATTTATATACAATGGAACAAATAACATAAGTGAAATCATAATAGAAATGAAAATAACAACCATAAAAAAAATTAACTATTATTATTACTATTTTGCCCAAAAAGGAGTGCACTGTAAACCCACATTTTCTTTTACATATTAAGCCATGCTAATATTACTAATCTTTTAAATATTTTGCAAAAGGCGGGACCATTACTAAACAAAGTGTGAATTGTAAACTATTTTAAACTAGTATTTGCTGTACTCATGGCTCTGAGTGGAGACTCACACTTGGATGTTTTTACCGGTGAAGGGAGGTGCTTGGCACCTGAACTCTCCCAAACTGCACCAAACCACATTTGACTTCCTGCTCGGACTGTTGGCTTCAGTCCAGCGTCAGTTTGCTTTATCATCACATGGTAAGTGAATAAATATGATTTATGTTCCCGTGAGACTGAATAGTTGGAAACATTGGTTGACGCTTGCAGCCAAATAAGACTAAAGTGAAGTGAACTTGTGGTCACATTGTGCTCGTTATCATCTGCTAACAGAGAACAGCTAATGCTCGCGAATCACACGACGAAAAATACTATTTTAATCCAACTCGGGCGGGTGGCGGTTTAACGACGCATGGACCCATAGAAGTCCTCACGTCCACCGTGTGCACCGCGCCTCAGAACTAAACCAGGACTAAAACAGAAGAGCGTCTCCTCCTGGAGGCCGCGCGAATCCAATTTTAGAATGAATGTATAGAGTTGGTGTTTTTGTTTTTTTTATCGAGACTCGTTTTCGTTGTTTGCTATATGATTGTTCTAAAATCTAAAACCGTGGGTGCAAATGGAGAGTTTGGAGTTCAAGTATTTAGATTATCACCACAAAATTGCATAAAAGCTTTGGTTGGAATTAAAAACTAAAACATATTTTGTGTTTTACAGGTGATGACCCAACAGGCTGTGGAGCTGTAAATACTGTGAGTTCAGCTGTGATAAGAGAAGTTACTACCTCAGACACTACAGAACTAATTTCTTTTTCTTTTTTTTTTTTAGATTTGTCTGGAATTCAAAAGGATTGTGGGAAAAGACCTGCACCAGGAATTGTATTCTGCCCTTGATAACCACATGACCCGTTTTATTTAAAGTTTTAAAGCTGACGAGGAGCAGCGTGGGTGACGGTTGGCACAGCTTTTGCAGCAAATACAGGTAAAACTTTTGTAACCCGGTTAAAAATACATGTGCAGTAAAAGCGTCATAACATAGTTAATCTAAAATGGATAAAAAGATAATTCATTTTTATTAAAATACATACTTCATGTTAATGGTTAAATGTATATTTCTTTTAACTTATCATACAGTATCATTTTCTGTCTTACAGTCACTGGATTCTACTGAAAAAAGGACAGTCACACTCAGGTCTTCCTGACTCACTCGGAGACAATCCCACTCAATTCTTCAAATCTAGAAGCTTTGTAAATGTACATTTTGTTTGTAATGTGAAACTTTTAGAATGTGACATTTATTGTATAATTTGAATATGTCTGTACATTACGAGCTCCAGCCATTCCATGAATATTATTTATCTTAAAGTCAGATTATTATTGATTTTCAAATATTTGTTTGAACATTTATCAGTTATCATGTCAGCATAAATTGAATTTCATACAATTTATGTTTTGTCTTTCTTATTGAGTCTGTTGTAGTTCAGTAATTTCATTCACTATTGGTTATGTTTCTGGCATTAATGTTTTTCTTTAGGACGGTGATGAATCCTTTCGCCAAATGGACATTTGGATCTTGTTAGTAAATCTGAAGGTGTTTCTCCTCCAACACCAGATCTTCACCCAAAGCAAATGCTGCTACAGGGAACAAACAGAAGACTGCACTTTATTCAGGTTTAAGCATGTTATTATTGCACTATTTTTGCAATAAATTTGTGAGAAAAAAAATGTCATTTTATGTCAGTTATTAAAAAAATAATATGATGTATAATTTGCATCTAATTATGATAACTAATAAACATAATCAATAAATACTCATAAATATCAGAAATACATACTGATAAAAATAAGTAATGATTACTGTAATACACAAGTAATGCTTAGTTAATTACTTGTAAACATTAGTTTTAGAGACTTCAGTTCTTTAGTAATGGATTATTTTGGACAGAAGACTTTATGTAAACAGAGCTTGATTTGTTTAGTTTTTGATATTGTAAAAACCAGACGTCCCAGTGCGTCTCTCACCACCGCGGTTTTAGTCATGATTACTAATTTGGGTTTACAGTGTGGGAAGAAGAAAACGTATTTAATCCCAGCCCTACTCTTCATAATCGAACACAATGATCTTATTTAGCGTTTTTCAGACATTTTGAATTAAACTATATGAACTGTTTACAAGTGCAGACAAAGAGTCACTGTTATAGTTTTGTCGTAGAACATAAACGCACCAACAAAGGTAAAGTTCAGGACACAGACAATGAATGAAGAAACAACAAATACAAGTCATGTAATGGACAACAAACATAAAGCAGCGCTACAGAGGCAGTTTTGTTCTAATATTCTGACCCACTCTCCATAAACTGTGACCAGACCAGATGTTTATAGAACAACTTGAATTTATGGAGATTTTGTCGTTGCTTGAGACGTGGATCCAGTCTGTTCCAGAGTTTTACACCACAAACAGACACACACAAACTTTTACGAGTCGTTCGTACGTTAGGCAAATTGAAATGTCCAAACCCTCTAAAATGATAAGTTCTCTCATTTTGAATAAGCTTTGAATATTACGTGGTAGTAAATTGTTGCTCTGAATAAAATGACCAGTGGATAATATTTTACAAGTTCAGGAATCTTGAGGAGATTGGATTGAATGAAATAAAAAGATTGTGGGTGTGTTAAAAAAAACAACTTTATGGATGATTCACAGAGCTCGTTTCTGTAAAATAATCAACAGATGAAGTGTAGATCAGTAAGTGTCCCTCACACTTCAACACTTCTGTGAAATAAAAGAACCAATGAACAGTCGAATGTACGAAGGGCATTTTGATCAAGGTCATATTTCACTTTGTTTACCACAGCAAGACTTTTGGAAATGTTTGTTTTGACGTGTCTGATGTGGCTTTTCCATGATCATTTACTGTCTATTATAACTCCCAGGAATTTATTTTCATTTACATTTTCTATTTGGACACCTTCAATCAACATGTGTAACTCTGTGTTAATCTTGCGATTGCCAAACATCATGGCCTTGGTCTTACTCAAGTTTAATGACAATTTATTGATATTCATCCACTTTTTAATTTTATTTAGCTCCTCATTCAGACTTTTATGAGTTCATTATAATTGTGACTATAAAATATGTTGGTCTGCCAGTACTGGATGTGTGGCGCCATCTACAGGCCGTTAATTTCATATTGAAAGTGCATGTTGGTTCAGTCAGCACTTTGTAAGTTTGTTTTGAAAAGTGCTAAATTAATGATTATTATTATTATTATTATTTGTTTGTTATTTTCCTGTTCCCTCCCAAACTTTCTGCCTTTGTGAAACTCCAGTGCAGTTGAGTTAGAGTGAACTTTGCCACAAAACCCATCTGTGCTGGACTGTTTTGCTGTGTCCGTCCTGATCAGCGATCGGACGCAAAACACTTCAGATTTATTGGTGGCCAGAAATGAAGGATGGACAGTGTTATACATGTTGTTCTAGAACATCAGTGCGGCGTAAAAAGTGTCGTCAAACTCTCGATTTGGTCTCGATGAGCCGTGGTCTCGGCCTTTCAAAGTCTCGGTCCTGAGGTCTCGGACGGGTCTTGGTCTCGATTCGCGTGGTCTTGACTACAACACTAGTGTCTAGTGTCGATACTAGTGGGTCAGTCCGTCAGTCCACCCTCCCCTTTGAGCATCTCAGATTTGGCTGAAAAAAAATCTAAACATTTCTAAAATGACCAAATGAAAGAATCTCAAGTTTTCTCTCAGTCCCTTGAGTCGTTCCTGAGTTTGGTCCATTGAAGTTTTGGGGCCATGTTCACTTTTTCTGAAGCCTTAATTTATAAACATGTTTGAGACCAGAACTTCATCAATAATAGAGCGAGGAAGATGAACATTTGTATTATTGTAGACTCTTGGTCATAGATTTTAGAATCTGTTGTCAAATATTGTGTGTCTTTATTAAATCTCACATTTAGTTGCCACTCAATTTTTTGTTCAGTTTTTGAGGTCCAAGATCTATTTACTCCAAGCAGATCTTTACAAACTAACTGAACCTGAATATTTGAGAGAATGAACATTTCTGACACAAATCTCACACTGTTCTGAGTTTTCATGTGGGGTAGAGTCCCAAATATATTAATAGGTGTTTGTTTCCAGGGCGGGAAAGTGGCGTACTATGAGATGCTTCCCGAGTACAGTGTGGACATCGATGTGGACATCGACTGGCCCGTGGCTGAGCAGAGGGTCCTCAGGTCAGAACAAAACACTTCATGTTTCTACTGCAGCTTTTCTACCACTAAAGATCCTCTCAAAATATCCTGATATCGTATCGTCAAAAGTATCACAACAACATAATATTTTTCACACTGTAAGTCGCTCCAGACAAAAAATGGGTGAAGAAGAAAAAAACATATATAAGTCTCACTTTTTGGGGGAAATGTATTTGATAAAATGAGAGATCAGCAGCAGACATGTCGTGTGTAAAGTGAAGTTGTAGTAAAAACAACAGAAGAGAAGAACAGACTGTTAACGTCACATATGAACAGTTCTTCAGATGTGAGTTCTGCAGATTTCTGTTGGGGCTGTTCGAGGGGCAGAGTGTCCAGAGTTTGGGTTCAGTCTCAGAGAAGCTCCTGTCCTCCTGGTTTTAAGTCTCGTCTTAGACTGCACGACCTGGAGCTGGACCTCGGACCTCAGACCTCAGGAGGAGTAAATCTGGATGAGATCCGAGACGTGACACGAGCCCAGAATATTCAAAGCTTCAAAAACAAACAATAAAATAACTTTAAAAGGAACATCAAACCAGAGTAAAGACGTGAGGGTTGGGGTAACGTGTTCTCTTCTTTTTGTTCCTGTTAAAAGTCGCGCTGCAGAGTTTTGGACTCACTGTCGTCGGTAAAGTGCGTTTTGTGAGATGCTGCAATAAAATGTGTCACAGTCGTCCAGGCCTGATGAGATAAAAACCTGCATGACTTGTTCAGAAAATTTAAAAGATAAAAAGGGTTTGACTTTAGATCAGTGTCACAAATGATAAAATCTTGATTTTAAAATGTTGTTGATCTGTTTGTAAATTTAAATTCACTGTCTCTGGTGATGCTGAGGTTGGTGACTGTGGGACGTCCATAATTTTTGAGGTGTCCCACATCAGTGAAGGTTCTACTGGTCCCAAACAGCATCACCTTAGTCTTTGCTTCATTCAGTTTTAAAGAGTTTTGGGCCAAATGAGCCTTGACGTCAGACACACAGTCGAGCAGAAGTGTCAGGGGCAGTGACTTTTTTCCAATAGGCAATAAATCTGGCATCATCTGTGTAAAAATGGTAAAAATTTCTCCAAGTGGGAGCAGGTAAAGTGCAAAAAGCAAAGGCCCCAGGATTGAACCCTGGGGGACTCCACTAAGAAGAAGGGCGGACGACGAGGTGGAGTCCCGCAGCCTCACAGTGAAGGACCTCAGAGAGAAGTACGACCTAAACCAGTCCAGGACGGTCCCTCTGACACCCACACGTTCTTCACAATGTTTTAAAAGAGTCGTGTGGTCGACTGTGTCAAAAGCAGGAGTCAAGTCTAAAAGCACAAATTATACAAAACATGTCTCAGACTGAGTTCAAACTTTGACTTTTTAAAAAAAGAGTCAGTCTCTTTGAACACATGCAAAAGAATCAGATCCCGTGAAAGAGCCGAAAGTCCCATCACAGTTGTTGACTTGTTTCGTTGGTTTCAGGTACGGTTACTTCGGGCGCGACATTCCGGAGGTGGTGAAGCTGATGTTCTGTAACGTCTCCGGGTGTCTGACGGACGGACGGATTTTCCTGATGGCGTCTGGAGGCGAGATGATCTCCATCAACACCAGGGACACGGCCGGGCTCCGGATGCTGAAGAAAGAAGGAGTGGAGGTGAGGAACGAACACGAAAAAACACACAAAACAGTGAGCGGGGTCGCCTCTCCACAGATCTGACCTGGAACACTGTCTGGTTTGGTCTCCGTGGAGATAGAAAGGTTTAATGCCACAGTGTGGAACATTCCAGACAAAATAACAACATCTAAGGACAAATGACAAGTTAATCTGACGGACCCTCCACCAGAAAAGTTACACAGTGCAGCTTTAAAGTTTGTATGGAGGATTTTTTTTGTTTCAAAGTTGTCAGTGATAGATTATAGATGCAGTCGCCTTGTAATTATGATGACCAAAAAAAGAGAATAAAAATTCATCAACTCTGGACGTGGTGGGGCTAAACATTTGCCAATAGATAACGACACTGCCTCGTTATCTGTGAGCTGACAGGCTGTCAATCAAACTCCCTACGTTTCTAGTGTAACTGACTTGTCTGCGCCGCCGGTACGTGGTTTACGTACGACTGTCACGCAGTCCACAGACGCAAGACGCACAGACGCTGTTTACTCCACCAACGCAACAGTTCTTAGCGACTTTTTTGACCTATATCTTCCTCGCAGTTCGCACAAAGTTTGTTGCAATGGCGACAAGAATCCAGGAGCAGTTCGCCGCAAAAGAAAGTCCGTTTTTGAGGTGAAAGAAGAAGACAAGGGGAAAAGCAGCGAAGACAAACTAAGGTGATTCTTGGAGATTCATTCCAGCGATGGCGCGACTGAAGCAGACGAAGAGTCTAAAGACTGAACCACTGGTCCACAAATTACTCCTGGACAGGAAACTTCTGCTTATTATGAAAACTTTATTTCCAAGAGCGACACAAACGTTTTTCAGGACCCGAATGTGACGTCCTGTGTCTGAAAACGTCATTTTCAACGCAAAGAAAGAGTCCACCTGCTGCTGCGTGTTGTAGTAGGAGCTTCATTCGCACTGAATCTCCGCTCCCCTCTGCACCCCTTTCCTGCTCCTCTCTCCTCTCCCTGCTCCCTGTTTCGCTCCCCCCACTCCTCACTTCTCCGTCTTGCCTAAACCAACACTGTAGTTAGTTGTAGTTAGTTGTAGTTAGTTGTTTACAAGTCATGTGCAGCGATGAGGACTTGTTTTCTAGAAACAAACCTGTTTGTGGCGTAAGGAGGAGGAGGGAGGAGGTGTTTCTACGTAGGAGCTGTAGGGGAGGAGGTGGTTTCACACAGGAGCAACATTTGAAAAAGGACAAACAGTCGCTGGATTTTTCATTCCTTGGAAAATCCTCTATACAACCTTTAAATATTCATTTATTTTAGCACAACTCTGCAAAAACCCAATAAATATTTAATCAGACAAGAAGTAAGTGTGGTTGTCAGTCTGGTGCCCCCTAGTGTCTCCGCTCAGTTTCATTTCTCTCCAGTGACTAGATCAGAATCAGAAAAACCTCGACGATTTACAAAAACCTCGCAAGTTGTAAACATTGCACTGAGCCATGACGTCAAACTGGTGCAACACAACAGGAAACAAAGTGTCGATGGACGTAGACGAAGACAGACATTCTGTGTTGGCGACGATTTAAAGGATTTAAAGTCAGAACAAAGAGAATGTTTGGTGAATTTGATCTCGGGGAAAGACGTTATTGTTCTTCTTCCTACACGATTTGGAGCTTTACAAACGTCACGACCAAACAGCAGCGATTGGTTCAATAAAAAAAGTCCCCGCCTCCTGTCGAGCGAACGAATCCTAATGCTGCAGGTCACACGGTTTCCACCAAGTGAAACCAGCTCAGGAATCAGAACAGTGCACGGGGCCCATTATAAAGTGTTTTATTGTCTGAGAATGTGCGTGTTTGCATGCTAGTTAAAATCTCTGAAAGTTGTGAAATGTGCTTATGCTGTATTTTTTGGAGTATAAGTCGCTCCAGCCAAAAAAAGTGTAATGAAGAAGATAAAAACATATAAGTGTCACTTTTTGTGGTAAATGTGTTTGATAAACTGAGAAATCAGGAGCCGACATGTAGTAAAAACAACAGAAGAGACGAACAGACTGTTCACACTGTCACATATGAACAGTTTGTTTATGTTGAGTGTTTTATTGTGTTTTGTGTGTTTCCAGGTGATCTTGTTGACCTCCACGCTGGACCCGGTGGCCCAGGCTCTGTCCCAGACCATGAGTGAACATCTGGGCTGCGCGGTGCTGCCTGTGGGGGACAAACCTCTGATGGACCTGGAGCCTCTGGTGAAGAAGCGAGAGCTCAACTGGAAGGACGTGGCCTACATGGGTCAGTGCGCACGCTTCCGCTGTCACCGTCAGGGTCGGCAAAAGTATCGAAAATCTGATTCTGATCGATACTAAAACTAGATGCTCATTTTTCACAGGGATCGATACTAAAAAAAGTCCAATGAAAAGAACAGAAGTGAGTCGTTCCTGAACAGTTTTAGAACAATCGTGAGCTGGATCAGAACAAAGGACCCAAGGACCTGGTTTAGACCTGGTTTAGACCTGGTTTAGACCTGGTTTAGACCTGGTTTAGTCCTGGTTTATGGTTTACCTGGTTTAGACCTGGTTTAGACCTGGTTTAGTCCTGGTTTTGGTAGACCTGGTTTAGACCTGGTTTAGACCTGGTTTAGTCCTGGTTTAGACCTGGTTTTAGACCTGGTTTAGTCCTGGTTTTTAGACCTGGTTTAGACCTGGTTTAGACCTGGTTTAGTCCTGGTTTAGACCTGGTTTAGTCCTGGTTTAGACCTGGTTTAGACCTGGTTTAGTCCTGGTTTAGACCTGGTTTACCTGGTTTACCTGGTTTAGACCTGGTTTTAGTCCTGGTTTAGTCCTGGTTTAGACCTGGTTTTCCTGGTTTAGTCCTGGTTTAGTCCTGGTCCTGGTTTAGACCTGGTTTAGTCCTGGTTTAGACCTGGTTTAGACCTGGTTTAGTCCTGGTTTAGACCTGGACCTGGTTTAGACCTGGTTTAGTCCTGGTTTAGACCTGGTTTAGTCCTGGTTTAGACCTGGTTTTTAGACCTGGTTTTAGTCCTGGTTTACCTGGAGTCCTGGTTTAGACCTGGTTTAGACCTGGTTTAGTCCTGGTTTAGACCTGGTTTAGACCTGGTTTAGTCCTGGTTTAGACCTGGTTTAGTCCTGGTTTAGACCTGGTTTAGACCTGGTTTAGACCTGGTTTACCTGGTAGACCTGGTTTAGACCTGGTTTAGTCCTGGTTTAGACCTGGTTTAGTCCTGGTTTAGACCTGGTTTACCTGGTCCTGGTTTAGACCTGGTTTAGACCTGGTTTAGACCTGGTTTTACCTGGTTTAGACCTGGTTTAGTCCTGGTTTAGACCTGGTTTAGTCCTGGTTTAGACCTGGTTTAGACCTGGTTTAGTCCTGGTTTAGACCTGGTTTAGACCTGGTTTAGACCTGGTTTAGTCCTGGTTTAGTCCTGGTTTTAGTCCTGGTTTTAGACCTGGTTTAGTCCTGGTTTAGACCTGGTTTAGTCCTGGTTTAGACCTGGTTTAGACCTGGTTTAGTCCTGGTTTAGTCCTGGTTTAGACCTGGACCACTGAGGGATGACACAGATATAAGACCACATAGGAACAGAAAAGAAAGTTCTATCATATTTTTCAGAGATTTTTTCAAGAGAAACATTGAATGAACAGAGTTTTCACGTCTGGTTTGTGAATCAGATCAGAGGCGTCGTTTATATGTATATATATATATATATATATATATACATATATATATATATATATATATATATATATATATATATATATATATATATATATATACGCGCCGCGCTCACAAGCCACCGAATATGACAAACCAAACTGTTCACATTTACACATATATTTAACGTGTTTAACACTTATTTAACGAGTCAAATGATTCTCCATATGATAATGATCCTCCCACTGTGAGTTTGTGTGTTTCATGTTCTCCTCCTTTGACATTTGTACACAGACAATTAAATAATCATTTGTTTAATGAGCGACAAACTGAAAAGATAAATACGTTGAGGTGCACGACAGTTAAATTTGTTTAAATTTGACAGATGAAAATTTACACAGTGTGAGGTTTATTTTTTAAGAGTAAAGATCATCGGTGTTGTTGTTCTGACTCTTTGTGTTGATTGATTGATTGATTGATTACATTTATATATCGCCTTTCAAGATCCCCAAAGCTCTTCACAGTTTATTATTCAGTCACTCCACACTCAGTGGTGTAAACTACTACTGAAGCCACAGCTGCCCTGGGGCGTTGGTCAGTGATCGGCTGAAAACATTTTAAATTCATTGACTGGAAAAACAGTGGGAGGATCATTATCATATGGAGAATCATTCGACAATGTGACGTGTCAAATAAGGTGCTAAACGTGTTAAAATATATGTGTAAATGTGAACCGACTGCCGCACTACAGCGTCAACAGGCTTTTCTAATCGTTAATCAGTGACGCCGGGAGCGACGCACAGGAGGTGGAGGAATTCACGGACGCCTGACGGTCGCACAAAAACAACTATGACCCGCCGAGCTCCCGGTCACACGAGTAAAGTGTGTGAACGAGTTTAAAAACACAGTGGCCCTTTAAACTGGTTTGGTCCTGGAAACTCTGGTGAATATTGAATCTTTCTTTAAATTCCTTTGTGTTTTTTCCGTAGGATGTGATGAGACGGACGTGGAGTGCCTGAACGTGGCGGGTTTGAGCGCCGTGCCCGCGGACTCGCCCGTCGTGGCCATGAACGGAGCCAAGTACATCTGCAAAAGTGTCGCCGGAAAAGGAGCCGTGCGCGAGTTCAGCGAACACATCAGACTGCAAAAACGAAAAGCCAAATCTCAACTGGAGCAGGACCGGATCGACCGAGCCAGTTCCTACACACACACACACACACACACACACACACACACACACACACACACACACACACACACACACACACACACACACACACACACACACACACACACACACACACACACACACACACACACACACACACACACACACACACACACACACACACACACACACACACATCACACACACACACACACACACACACACACACACACACACACACACACACACACACACACACACACACACACACACACACACACACACACACACACACACACACACACACACACACACAACACACACACACACACACACACACACATCACACACACACACACACACACACACACACACACACACACACACACACACACACACACAACACACACACACACACGACACACACACACACACACACACACACACACACACACACACACACACACACACACACACACACACACACACACACACACACACACACACACACACACACACACACACACACACACACACACACACACACACACACACACACACACACACACACACACACACACACACACACACACACACACACACACACAACATACACGACACACACGACACACACACACAGACGCACACAAGACACACACACGACACACACACACACACACACAACACATACACACACACAACGACACACACACACACACACACACACACACACACACACACACACACACACACACACACACACACACACACACACACACACACACACACACACACACACATCACACACACACACACACACACACACACACACACACACACACACACACACACACACACACGACACACACACACACACACACACACACAGCACACACACACACACACACAGAACACACAGAACACAACAACACAACAGTTTTTCTGAGGCGCGGGATTTGCTCAAGGACGTCCAGTCAGTGCATCAGTCCTGGTTCAGTCCTGGTTTAGTCCATTCTCCATTTTTTCCATTTTTCATTTAAACACGAAAAAAAAAAAAAAAAAAAAAAATCATTTTGGTTTTGGACACAAATAATGAAGAAAAAAAAAAAAAAATATATATATATATATATATATATATATATATATATATATATATATATATATATATATATATATAAAATGTGTTTCTCACCTTCCACGGTGGTTGGTCTCTCACCCTCATTCAGCTCAGGTCGTCTACCAGAGGCCTGGGAGCTTGACAGTTCTGCGCAGTATCTTTGCTGTTCCCAGTTCTGCACTTTTCTGGACTGAGATGTTCCGTTGTTTTTCCCGGTATCTGTTGAAGCCTCTTCCAGTTTGGGGGTTACAGCCCCGAGTGTCCGATCACCACAGGCTCCACTGATGCCTTTACTTTCCAGACTCTCTCCAGCTCTTCCTTGAGCCCCTGGTATTTCTCTAGCTTCTCGTGTTCCTTTTTCCTGATATTACCATCGCTTGGTATTGTGATGTCCACCACCACGGCTCTGCTCTGTTTCTTATCCACCTCCACTATGTCTGGTTGGTCCATCTCCATCCTGTCAGTCTGTATCTGAAGTCCCACAGGATCTTGGCTCGGTCATTCTCCACAACCTTTGGAGGTGTTTCCCACCTTGATCCTGGGGTCTCCAGCCCAAACTCTGCACAGATGTTTCTGTACACTCTGCCCGCCACTTGGTTATGTCGCTCCATGTTTGTTTCCCTGCAGCATCTTACACCCTGCAGTTATGTGCTGGACTGTCTCAGGAGCCTCTTTGCACAGTCGACACCGGGGGTCTGGTCTGGTGTGGTAGATCTGGGCCTCTATTGCTCGAGTGCCCAGGACCTGCTCCTGTCTCCTAGACGATGTGAATGCAGCACTGACAGTGATATATATAATATATATATATATATATATATATATATATATATATATTTTATTTTTTTTTTCTTATTTTTGGTTTTATTTTGAAAAACGAGTGAATGAACGACACATGGATTAAACATGAATGAAACACAAACAACTCCAGCTCTGTGTGTGACCAGGAACATTAGAACATAAGAACATAAGAACATTAGAACATCAGAACATTAGGACATTAGAACATCAGAACATTAGAACATTAGAACATTAGAACATTTCTCTCCTCACACGACACAAACACAAAGTCGAGTGTTTTTTTTTCCCATTCAAGTTTATTGGAAACAAAGGAACAGTATATATCGTACATTGACGCACCTTTTCAATTATCATTCCTTTTCTCCTTTTCTAAAAGTAAATAAAGTCACTGTACTTATATTATAGAAATGATCAAGCTTAACAAAAGGAAAAAAGTTTGGTAATATTAAAACTAATAACAAAACAAGAAAAAAAATTATAATAATAAAATAAAATAATAATAATAAAACAAAATAATATATATATGCATATATACATACATACACCCGGACACATATATAAACACATACATACATATATATACATATATGCACACATACATACACATACACGGTCAGATATAAAAACACGGTGGTTTCATCAAGTCAAACTCAATTAAAATCAGATCTAAACAGGGCAACAAACATTCTCCAAGTTTTCCAGTAATTGTCAAATTTGTCAAAGTCAAGTCTCATATTAAATGTCAGTTTTTCCATGACATAAACGAGTGAACAACATTTATCCTCAATGCACCGAACTTTATCACTAAGCCGTCTTTTTGTAATACACTTTTTCCCAGCAGCCAGTAATATGTTATAAATATATTTTTTCTTACGTTCTATAAGTTGGGCAGGTTTTATCCCAAGGTACAATGTCTCAAAGTTGTGTGGTAAAGTAACAGAGAACTTTGTCAGTCCTGCTCCTGACCTGAGACCAGAACTGGGAAAGTTCTGGACATTCCCAGAATATGTGATAATGAGCGGCGCTTCCTGTCCCACACTTTGTCCAACAGGACGTGTACAAAGTCCAGTGTTTAGAAAAGTTTGATTCTTTCTTGTAAATTTGTGTAAATGATCTGAACATTTTCTGCACAAATGTAACTCACAACTGCAGAAAAAAACGTCTTGAAGCTTAGTTGTTCATCCAATCACTGAAGTCATTTATCTTTTGCTTAATTTATGCCTTAAATTGTTGTTTTAAATGTTTTTTAAACTTTTGTCTGCGAAGGGAATGTGGCAATAAAACTGAAATGAAAACGTCCAAACGTGTGACGGTTTGTTTTTAATCGTACAAAATGGTCAAGAGCCGGTACGCTATTTCTGTTTCCGTAGTAACCTGCTTTAAAGGTGCACTGTGTAACTTTTCACCTGCTCGTTTCTATGGAGACGTCGCTGCTCTGTCTGGAATGTTCCACAGTGTGACTTTAAACTTTACATTTATTCAATCACGGGAGGTTTTAAAGCTCAAAAATCGACAGAAAAACAGACGTCGTGACTGTGAGCGCGTCGCCCCTCCACAGATCTGACCTGGAACTGCATCCGGTCTGGTCTCCGTGGAGATAGAAAGGTTTAATGCCACACTGCAGAACATTCCAGACAAAGCAAGAATCATCTCCATGGAGAAAAGCGTTTGACGGCGCCTCTGGACACGCGCGTGTGTGTCTACGGCCGAATGTTCAGCGGTTACCATGGTGACACAACAAACACTTTAGCAAACGGGTTTAAAGGTTTCCCAGATATCGGTATCGGTATTGAAAATTGTGCAGATATTTGGCAGCAGGACTTTTCAGTGCATCAGATCTGTGATTTTAAATCGAGAGAACGAGGAAAAAAAGAAACAGATGAACAACGAGACGAAAAATCTGAAGAAAAAAAGGTAGAGCGCTTCACTGGGTCATAAAAGAATTAAAAAAGTCTACGAGGGTTAAAACAGAAGTATTTAAAGCACAGGTGTCAAACATACGGCCCGGGGGCCAGATCCGGCCCTCCAACACCTTTAATCTGGCCCTCGGCTGATTTTCTACTCAAATATTGTAATTATATTTTCTATTTAAAATGGTTGTTAATTTTGTGTGGTGTTTATCACAGCAGCGTCTCCAGCGTCTCTGTACGTGGCCCCTCCCACCAGAGCAGCACAAATGAAGACTTGTCTCTTTCCAAACGCTCTTAAAGGACGATCGTTTTGACTGTTGACCGTGACACCCTCATCAGAAAAATGTCCAACATGAGAAAAGTGGAGCCGAGTGCAGGATTTTACAACAAAAATGGACTTATTCCTGTTTACAGACAAGTTCATGTTCAAACTTTGTGTTGAAATTGTATTTTTCTTCAAGTTTCAGGTTGTTCATAATATTATAATATTTTGTAAAAGAAAGAGTTCATCAGTTAAAAAAGATTTCGTGTAATAGATTTGTGTTTCTCTGCACAAATATTTGAACTTCTTGTTATTTTTGGGGTTTATATGACATGAGTTTTCTGATCCGGACACTTTGGATCAAAGTCGGTTGGACACGACCCCCGGAACAACATGAGTTTAACTCTCCTGGTGTAAACAGAAAGTTTCCCTGACTGGGAAATGTAAAAGTGGGTTAGGTTCAAACCCAAGGCTCCCACTGAATATTGGGTGAGTTTGCTCATCACGTATATATTCCTCATGGTTGGTTGGTTTGTTTTGGGGGCTGCTCGATGTCTTTTTCCAATCGTCATGTGATGTTGTCATGTGATGTTGTCATGTGATGTTGTCATGTGATTGATAATTGGTTGTATTTAATGACACTGGTGTGTCTTGTTTTATCACTTTGTCCCATGTCGCTGGTGTCTCTTCATGTAATAAAGGACTTTTAATATATTCAGTCGTGTGCCTTGGGTTTGTACTTTACACACTTTTACATTTTCGAGTACTGGCAAATTTCTGTTTATAGGCAAAAAATATGTTAGATAATTATGCAACAAATTATTATAATTATTTTTATTTTTATTAATTTATTATTATTTATATACTTTTTTTTTTGCAAAAGTAGGAAGTTAAAGATGGGGTATTGGTAAATATATATATTTTTTAATTGTTAATATTAAGTGACGATTTTTTTGTTTTGAAAATGTAACATTTCCCACGGTAATAATTCAATAAATTTATCAAGATTTATTAAGTCTTTGATTAGACACACAAGGAAGGACCTGACACACACAGAGGAGGGACCTGACACACACGAGGAGGGACCTGACACACACGAGGAGGGACCTGACACACACGAGAGAGGACCTGACACACACGAGGAGGGACCTGACACACGAGGAGGGACCTGACACACACAGAGGAGGGACCTGACACACACGAGGAGGGACCTGACACACACGAGGAGGGACCTGACACACACGAGGAGGGACCTGACTGACACACACGAGGAGGGACCTGACACACACGAGGAGGGACCTGACACACACGGGGAGGACCTGACACACACGAGGAGGGACCTGACACACACGAGGAGGACCTGACACACACGGGGAGGGACCTGACACACACGGGAGGACCTGACACACACGAGGAGGGACCTGACACACACGGGGAGGGACCTGACACACACGAGGAGGACCTGACACACACGAGGAGGGACCTGACACACACGAGGAGGGACCTGACACACACGAGGAGAGGGACCTGACACACACGGGGAGGGACCTGACACACACGGGGAAGGGACCTGACACACACGAGGAGGGACCTGACACACACGGGGAGGGACCTGACACACACGGGAGGAACCTGACACACACGGGGAGGGACCTGACACACACGGGAGGACCTGACTCACACGGGGAGGACCTGACTCACACGGGAGGGACCTGACACACACGGGGAGGGACCTGACACACACGGGGAGGGACCTGACACACACGGGGAGGACCTGACACACGGGGAGGGACCTTGACACACACGGGGAGGGACCTGACTCACACGGGAGGGACCTGACACACACGAGGAGGGACCTGACACACACGGGGAGGGACCTGACTCACACGGGGAGGGACCTGACACACACGGGGAGGGACCTGACTCACACGAGGAGGGACCTGACACACACGGGGAGGGACCTGACACACACGGGGAGGGACCTGACTCACACGGGAGGGACCTGACACACACGGGGAGGAACCTGACTCACACGAGGAGGGACCTGACACACACGGGGGAGGGACCTGACTCACACGGGGAGGGACCTGACACACACGGGGAGGGACCTGACACACACACGGGAGGGACCTGACACACACGGGGAGGGACCTGACACACACACGGGGAGGGACCTGACACACACGAGGAGGGACCTGACACACACGGGGAGGGACCTGACACACACGGGGAGGGACCTGACACACACAAGGATATTTCAGTTGATGTTTTAAAGACTTTGCAGCTTTTACACAGAAGAGCAAATGTTTTGTAGTTTGCGGAATATTTTATTATATATTATTTTATTTATTTATTATTTTATTCTCTATTATAATTGTACGACTCAAACTCAGACAAACTTTATTGATCCACTGGGAAAAGATCTGGACACAGAGTCACACAGAAACAATAAATAAAATAACAAAGAGTAAAAATATAAATGTAATAATAAATTCTAAAAGAGCAAGAGTCAAATTAAACATAATTCTATAAATGTAAATGTTCAGTCAAAATAAAATACAAACAATTCTATTTCTGTTTTCTGCTCTGTGTTTAAAAACCGTGTTTGAGGCTGAACGTCTCCAGAGCTCAGACACCAGTGACACACGCCGTGATGTCATAAAGTGAGGGTCAGTGTGAGCGCGGCAGCTACAGAAATGTTTAAACGATCTGTTCATGATTTGAATTCCAAATGTTGAAGTTTGATCAAGATTAAAAGTCCTTTATGACTTTATTTTAGGTCAATATCCCAAAAAGCACAAGTTTAATCAAAGTGAACAGATTATAATTAATATTTGTTTTCAACAAGCAAAAAGAACTGAAAAAAAAGGTTGATGTACTGAGTAAATCTGACGCTCAGAGTTTTTCTCTTGGCCAAAGGAAAGTAGAAACAGTTTGACGAGGTTTGGGTGATTCTTAAAAGTTTTGTAGAGAATCTGAATTTGACGGACGGTGCTGAAGACGATCACTCTGTAAACCTTTTATTTTTCTTTATCTATTTTTATTTATTTATTTTATGTATGTGAATGTATGCAGATATATATTTGGATGCTATAACTTCATTTTCTCACTA